TCTACTAATACTCTTCTAACACTCTAATGAGAGTTAGTTGACATGTGGGTTCAACATTACTTATAGTCAACAGAATATCTAAAGAGGACCATCAAAAAAGTGTTATCAATAGCAATAGCAACTTTATTTATATAGCACATTTAAAACAACACAAGTTGATCAATGTGCTTTACAATGTCACAGAACAAAAAAGTGAAAATAGCATCACATTTTAAAATCCTGTACAGTTTCCAATATAATATTGAAATCTACACATAATATAATATTGAAATCTACACATACAATGTGACAACAAATGAAGGCATGAAAAAGTGTCCTAATGTGACCTTAATATAACAAACTATAACAGTTGATATCTGTTAAACAAAGATTGAAAAAAAATCTGTTTTTTTATATTTCCTTTCTGTGCCTCAGCTATTTGTGAATGAGTACCAGGAGGTTCCCTTTGAGGCCATCACGTATCTGACTGGAGAGTGTAACTACGGAGGTCGTGTAACAGATGACTGGGACCGTCGCCTCCTCATGACGATCCTCGCTGACTTCTACAACAAAGACATTATTGACCACCCACGCTACTCCTTCTCCCCCAGTGGCAATTATCATGCACCTCCAAAGTCCATATATGAAGACTATGTGGAGTTTATCAAGGTACGACTTTATGTTTTGATAGCTGCTGACTTAAAAAAAAACTAAATTCAAACTCTCATGAAACAATGGTAATATAATGCACTGCATATGCTCCACAGAACCTGCCTTTCAACCAGCATCCCGAGGTGTTTGGCATGCATGAGAATGTGGACATCTCCAAAGACCTTCAACAGACAAAACTACTATTTGATTCCCTCCTCCTCACCCAGGGCGGTGGCTCAAAGGGAGCGGGCGGCTCTGGCGGGGACACCACTCTACTGGACATTGCCAATGACATCCTGTCTAAAGTAACTCATCATTCTTAAGATTAGAAATTGTTATTGGGATAAAAAGTTATTTGCATATGTGCCATGGATTTATTGACGTTCTGATTTCGTTCTTGCAGCTTCCGGGTAATTTTGACATGGAGTCTTCCCTTGCCAAATTCCCTGTGTGTTATGAAGAGAGCATGAATACGGTGCTTGTGCAGGAGATGCAGCGGTATAACAAGTGAGTCCGCAAAACTCAAATCAGATCAAAAACATCTATAGAAACAATTCTACATAAGTGAAGACGTTTATTCTATAACTTCTGTGTACGTTCTTCTCTCAGTTTGAGCAGTACTATACGTGTAAGTCTGCAGAATCTGATAAAGGCCATTAAGGGGCTGGTGGTGATGGACGCAGAGCTTGAGGCTATAGCTGGTGGTCTGCTGGTGGGGAAAGTGCCAGAAAAGTGGGCCAAGTGCTCCTATCCCAGTCTCAAGCCATTGGGCAGCTATGTCAATGACTTCCTAGCCAGACTCAAATTCCTGCAGGTCAGTGATCACGAACAGACAAATCCTCACAGAGGCCAAAGGTATCAGACAACTAGTGAAAATTTCACTGTAAAATTAGAAAGATACTGTAAAACTGCTACAGTAAAAAGTTAAAAACATTTAATTTTTAAAAAAATAATTGGTTTTAAGTGTAAGTTACATGTAAATGGTTTAACGTCACATTCTTTCTGTAAAATTATGTTAAATCTATGGGTTTTTTGCTTGTAAAAACTATTAATTTCAGTATTTAAAAAACAACAACAGTAAAACGACTTTTCCAGAAGTCCTTGCGTTACACATCACATATGATAAAGCTTTTTATAAATATTTTGATTCAACACTTGGCTTTCTATTGTTCCAACCTTTATTATTGTGGTGGTGGTGGTTATCGATACATTTTAGGATTAGAAGGCAGATTTTGGGAGTTAAAGTAGGTAAATTAACTTAAAACCATATATTTCATTATGCAATTTAATGTTAAGTAAAATATTTGCATTTTTTAAATGTAATACTTTTTTTTTTCAGTGCATGTTATAATTAACAATTTGAGTGAAAATCATTAATTTGATAGCAGCAGCTATCAGCAAATTTTTTAGACTCCAATGAAAGATAGCAAATAATGAATCTGTTCTCACTAAAACTTATATTGTAGAAAAAAGTTTTGATACTCGCCATTCAAAAGTTCATTCAAAAATAATCGTAAAAGTAATAATAAAAGATTTCTATTTCAAAATAATAAAAAAGCATGAGAAAAATAAAAAGCAGCACAACGGTTTTCAACATTGATAATAATATGAAAATAAATGTTTCTTGAGCTGCAAATCAGCATTTTAGAATTTCTGAAGGATTGTGTGACACTGAAGACTGATGCTGACAATTCAGCTTTGTCCTCACAGGAATAAATTACATTTAAAAATAGATTTAAATAGAAAATTGTTTTTTATTGTAAATCTTAATAATATCTCACAATATATCAGTATTTATTGTATTTTTGATCAAATCAAGTAAATTTGAATTTAAAAAAAAATATATAATTTACCTTAATATTTCTCTGTGTCATATTGTTTTCCAGGACTGGTATGACACCCAGAAGCCCTGTGTATTTTGGTTGTCTGGGTTTTTCTTCACTCAGGCTTTCCTAACAGGAGCCTTGCAGAACTACGCCAGGAAGTACTCCATCCCCATTGATCTGCTTGGCTTTAATTATGAGGTATCCTCTAGTCTACTGCAACTGTCTTTAGGCTGAGAGTACTGTCATCAGAAAGAGACTATTTGAGAGCTACATTTTGTTCTTTGTTGCTTCAGGTTCTGCCATTCGACACCTCAGACTCATCTCCTGAAGATGGAGTCTACATTCATGGCCTTTTCCTGGATGGAGCTCGGTGGGATAGAAAAAGGCAAGAGAAGCTTACATGGCAGGAAAATGCTGGACATTTTTTGCTATATTTTCATGAAATGTGTTCTTCCTTGCAGTGGAGTGTTGGCCGAACAGCATCCAAAAGTTTTATTTGATGCAGTCCCTATCATCTGGATCAAACCAAGTAAGATAAGAAATGTTATGTGATGATTATTTAATACATCTATATATATCATTTCATGCTTTTGTAGTTACTTTGCTGAGCAACCTCTCTAAACCTGTCTTTAGCGGACAAGAAGGGCATGGAACACCCCCACAGCATTTATGTGTGTCCCCTCTACAAGACCAGTGAGCGTAAAGGTACTCTGTCCACCACTGGCCATTCAACCAACTTCGTCATCAGCATGATGCTCGCAACTAGCAAGCGTCCTCAGCACTGGATCAAGAGAGGCGTAGCTTTGCTATGTCAACTAGATGATTGATACCGTACCAGCACATAATTTACTGTTCCCAAGCACATCTTTTATGTCACTGTGTCCATTAAAAATATTATCTCATTAATTGGTTTTAAATAATTTTTTTTACAAACATCATCATAATTTGATATGATTGTCCTCTTTGCATGTTGTTGTGTTTTTCAAGTACATCAGGAATATGTATATTGATCTTTTATTCCGGGGAAAAAAATATTTTTCAGAATAGAATTTGAATAAGATCTAAAACACACTTTTAGTCCGCTAATGTTAATATAATTGTTGTAGTCTTCTGTACTTTCCATAACTAAAAACATTATGGACACCTTGCATTAAAAAAGAAATCTTTCAAATCCACTCTGACTATTTCAAATAAATGCAACTTTCGCAAGGACATTTTAATATTGTTTATTAGGATATATTATGCATAATTATATATTTTTTTAGTAGTTCACTCTTAAAAAAAACTTTTGCTGATAATTTACTCACCCCCATGTCATCCAAGATATCCATGTCATTCTTTCTTCAGTCATTCAAGGATTTTTCTCCATATAATGCACTTTACTGGGCACCAAACGGTTCAAGGTCCAAAAGACAGTTTCATTGCAAACTGTTCAAAGGGCTTTAAACGATTCCAGACAATGAATAAGGTTCTTATCAAGCGAAACGATCGCTCATTTAAAGTTTTATAACCTCAAATGGTCGCCTTGCTCTGTTCTTTTATGAGCGCTCGTGACTCTCCTGTTCGAACACGTTCATCAAAATGAACAAATCTTTTTTCGTGTCATTTGGTTCATTCAACGATTCAAAATGAACAAATTGACTCAGGAAAAGATTCGTTCATTTTGATGAAGGAGTTTGAACAGGAGAGTCATGAACGCGCATCACAGAACAGAGCAAGGTGACCACCTTATAAAACTTTAAGTTTTTTTGTTTTGCTTCGCTTGATACGACCCTTATTCATCATCTGGAATCGTTTAAAGCCCTTTGAACAAGCCCTTTAAAGTTTGCAGTTTGACTGAAACTGTCTTTTGGACCTTGAACTGTTTGGTTACCAGTAAAATGCATTATATGGAGAAAAATCCTGGAATGTTTTCATCAAAAACCGTAATTTCTTTTCGGCTGAAGAAAGAATGACATGGATATCTTGGATGACATGGGGGTGAGTAAATTATCAGCAAAAGTTTTTTTTTTAAAAGTGAACTACTCCTTGAAATGCTTATATTTTGTAGAACCAATTCAGTAAATACGTTTTAAACAAAACATTTCTTCATGATACAGTCTATATTATAATGTTTAATATAATAAAATAATTTAAAAAGGCCGGGGGAGAATTTTTAATATATTTCAGTGTTATTTGTTCAGGGAATATATTCTTGCTTTTATGTACAAAGGAATATTTTTCCATTTTTGTCCTGTTTTTTAATAATTCATCAGTGTTAATGTGCATCTCTGGTGGGATTCATTTAATCAATGCACAGCTTCCTGTTTCTCTGGGAGTATGTTTTGTACTGTCCACTGTGTCCACTGGCCCATTGTATATGTTCCTAAGAACACCAATGCTGCGAACATGAACTCTCGGGTCAGCTGTCTGGTAGGGTAGAATTGCAAGACCGACTGTCACTCAGTGGGTAAAAGCCAGGTGTTGGTTGGTTGGCTGGCTCAGACCCCATGAGCAAGTATTTTTAACCATGCAGGGATATAAATAGTGTAAAGCGACAAAAAAACAGTACAGATACAACTGCCTCGACTGTTTTCAACATTTCCTGTTGTCTCAAGGTAGAATGAACATTTGCGTTTGAATTGTAAACAGATTATTCCTCCTGGAAAAGCTCTATTGACATAGATTGCATGGGATGTGTTGCATGTTTACAAACCATTCTCAAAGTAATTAGACAGTCATTTCAAGAATGAAGGCAATTTTGATGTTAGGCTCTTATTATTCATTTTATATTTGTTCTAAGAATGAATTGTACAGTTTAAGGAAACAACCACAGAGTTCCGAGTGCTGGTTACATCCTTTTAATTCAAGCCAGATCAAGAGCAGATATTTTCAGCTTTGGCTGTTGTAAACCAATGCAAAACATTGAATTCAAGAGTCAAACAGAATGCTTCTCATACTTTGCATCCAATATAATGTTTTTTTATTGTGGTGCCAAATTTGAAATGGCGACTGATCAACTATTTTTTCACGTTGTAAAGACAAACCATTTGCTGTTAAGTCCTGTGTTTTTGGTTGCCAAATTCGAGTTTATTATTGAAAGATGGAGGAGGTGTATGATGCTGCAGAGGATGACTGGGATGAGGATGAAGATGAGGCCACTCAGTACATGATTGAACAGAGTCTACTGGAGTACAGCAAACATACAGGTTCAGCTGCCAGGTACAGGTAAATCCCACCATTTTGAATGCACTGATAGTGTGTGTCTAATGATAGAAACGTTTTGTTTTGATGTCCCTCTGCAGTGATCCATTAGACCTCATTGACCATGAGGAGATTTTCACTGCTATACAAGCTGGTAGGTGCTAAATCCTCCACAAATGTTGATGAGCATTTTCAGTTCCTCTGTAGAAGTTCTGGAGACTTTATGCCGTTCGTTTCATGTGTGATGTCAGGAAATGAGGAAGCTTTGAAGGTCCTGGTGCAGCGTAAGGAGGCTCTGTCGAATGCAGACAGCAGGGGCTGGATCCCTTTGCATGAGGCAGCGGTGCAACACAAGAGAAGCATTCTGGAGATCACTTATGCAGGTCCATGAGATATATCTACCTAAACAACCCCCCAAAAAACATGTTTGCATTATTTAATAATGAGAATTCCTCATTCAGCATCTCCTCAGGGCTCAGGGCAGTGCCGTACTCTAAGAGGGGAAACTCCATTGTTTCTCGCTGTTGTCCACGGTCTCCGAGAGAATGCTACATTCCTGCTGCAGAACGGTTGTGACCCTGACTGCAAAAACGAGGATGATGACTCTGCATTGGTTGCAGGTGTGGAACACAGTGCCATTTTTAGCATACTGTTTTCTTAGTAACCACAAGACACTTTTTTTAAACAAAGATTTAACTCCATATATATTATAACTGTTATGAAAGCCTGAGTGACTGTTAATAAAAAAATATATAAAACATGAAAACAGTTATCGGTATTAGCCTGAATATTAACATCATTACATAAGAGACGACAGACTATATTTGACACAATGACACATTGAACTGACTTTTGTCCAGCCGTAAAGAATGACCAGTATGACCTGGCTCTGCTGCTGCTACGCTACAATGCCACAGTGGACCAAAAAGGAAGTCTTCAAAGAACCGCTCTGCATGAGGCATCCGTGCTTGGCTTGGATAACTTTGTATACCTGCTCCTACAATCTGGCGCTGACCCAAATGCCATTGATGTCTGTGAACACACTTCTTTGGGACTTGCGGCTCAAGCTGGACATTTTAACGTTGTGGAGGTTCTACTTCAGAAAGGTGATTTTGAAATGCGTGAAATTCAGATTTTGAATTTCAGTGTTTTTTATATTAAATATTAGATGGACTGTTCTATCTATCTATCTGTCTGTCTATCTATCTGTCTGTCTGTCTGTCTGTCTGTCTGTCTGTCTGTCTGTCTATCTATGTTTGTTTATCTATCTATATATATCTATTTATCTATCTATTTGTCTGTCTGTTTGTCTGTCTATGTTTGTCTATCTATCTATCTGTCTGTCTATCTATGTTGTCTATCTATCTATGTATCTATCTATCTGTCTGTCTATCTATGTCTATCTATCTATCTGTCTATCTATCTATCTATCTATCTATCTATCTATCTATCTATCTATCTATCTATCTATCTATCTCTCTGTCTGTCTGTCTGTCTGTCTGTCTATCTATCTATCTATCTATCTCTCTGTCTGTCTATCTATCTATCTGTCTGTCTGTCTGTCTGTCTGTCTGTCTGTCTGTCTATCTATCTGCCTATCCATCCATTCGTCTATCCATATGTCTGTCTGTCTGTCCATCTATCTATTTATCTGTCTGTCTGTCTATCACCTTTTAAATAATATTTAATAACCCACTCATGTTCAGGGGCCAGTGTGTGGTCCAAGCCTCATCTTCCAGGTTCAGCCTCAGTTTTATTCGATGCTGCGGCTTCAGGAAACCCTGATATCATCTCACTGCTGCTGGAGTATGGAGCCGATCCCAACGTGCCCGCCAACACAGGCCATCTCCCCATCCACCGTGTAGCCTACCGTGGCCATCTACTGTGAGTAACTCACTGCTGATGCAGTGCTTACCCTTGATCCAACCGGAAGTCACAGAAAAAATCTGTTTGTGTCTTTCATAGGGCACTGGAGCAGCTGATCCCTGTGACTAAGAAAGAGGTGATCAAAGAGAGCGGCATGAGCCCGTTACACTCCGCCGCTGCGGGCGGTCACTCTCAGTGCCTGGATCTACTCCTGAGCTCCGGGTTTGACCCTAACTTCATGTTACACCCTAGAGTGCGCAGAAACTATGAGGACGAGCGCAGGTCAGCGCTGTTCTTCACTGTAACGAATAATGACGTCCAGTCAGCGAGGCTGCTTCTGGAGGCCGGAGCCATGCCCAATCAAGACCCAGTCAACTGCCTTCAGGTGGCCATGAGACTGGGCAACTACGAGCTCATCAACACTCTGCTACGCTACGGTGCCAATGTGAACTACTACTCTCGTGTCAACACCACCCACTTCCCTTCCGCCCTTCAGTACGCTCTAAAGGATGAGGTGATGCTGCGCATGCTGCTCAATAACGGTTATGACGTGCAGCGCTGCTTTGACTGTCCGTATGGACAGGCCTCACATGTTCCCGTGGATTACGAGGGCTGGAGCGCCTCGGTCATCAAAGACGTGGTGGTAAGACCTCATTTTTAAGCTGTCTGTATCAAGGAAAATGATCTGATGTTGTTAAAGGAATAATTCTATGATCTATGATCATTTACTCACCTTCATGTCATTCTAAACATGCACTGTAAACTAACATTTAAATGTTTTGGGTCAGTAAATCTTTTTATTTTATTTGAAAGAAATACTTTCATTTGGGAAGGATGCATTAAATTTAATAGTTTAAGTAAAGAGTTGTTTATAATTTGAATATATTGCATCAAAGAATCCTGAAAAAAAAATATTGAAAAAAATAATGATAAATGTTTCTTGACTATCAAATCAGCATATTAGAATGATTTCTGAAGGATCATGTGACACAGAAGACTGATGCCGAAAATTTAGCTAAACCATACATTTAAATAAATTACAATAGGACATTTGGTAACACTTTACAATAAGGTTCATTTGTTAACATTAGTTAACCACATTAGTTAACATGAACTAAGAATGAACAATACTTCTTCAGCATTTATTAGTTAACTTAGTTAATATTAATTCCAACATTTACTAATACGTTATTAAAAGCAAAGGTTGTATTAGTTAACATTAGTAAATGCACTGTGAACTTGCATGAACGCACAATGAACAGCTGTATTTATATTAACTAACATTAACAAAGATTAATAAACACTGTAACTAATGCATTGCTCATCGTTAGTTCATGTTAGTTAATGCATTTACTAATGTTAACTAATGAACCTTATTGTAAAGTGTTACCGGACATTTTAATTGTAATAATGCTGTATTTCACAATATTACTGTTATTAATCTTTTTTTATGAAATAAATGTAGCCTTGGTGAGCATAAGAGACTTTTCTCAAAAACCTTACCAACCTCAAATGTTTAGAGTATGACTTTCAGTTTTCTGCAAAACACACAACATGTTATGGAGAATGTTTGGGCCCAAACAAAATTATACTCCACTGACTATCAACAGAAAAAAAACACAAAAATAAAGTCATACACATTTGTAAAAATCATGAGGGTGAATAAATGATGCCAGTAGTTTAATTTAAGTAAGTCTAAAGGTAAGTCTAAACTTGTTTTTGTGCAGTTCTGTGAGGTGATCACAGTGTACTGGCTCAAGCACATCTCAGCTCAAGTAGTGAGAATCATGTTGGATTATGTTGATCACGTGACTCTCTGCTCCAAACTGAAGACTGTTCTGGTTGAGCAAAAACAGTGGCCAGAAATATGTAAGATTCAAGGTGAGTCTCCTGTCACATCTTGAGACTGAGATCCAGAAAACCTCCAGAAATCTCAGCAGGGCCGGTTGCATAAACTGCTAAGACTATATAGTTATATTATTTTTAAAAACTGTTCATAACCTTTTAAGTCTTTATAACTTTTAAAGTAACATATTGGTCTTATTTGATACCAGAAACATAAAACTGATTACCTCTAAGCAATAGTTATTAAGACACAGTCTTAATATAATGGCTATGTTTATGCAACTGGCCCCTGATGTAGGCTATAGATTTCAAATGTGTGGTATACTTGTCAGAAGTGATAACATAGATTGAAATGCAGCATATTCCAAAATATATTTATGTATGTTTTCTGCTTTCATCAGAAAACGCTCGAAGCCTGAAGCATCTCTGCAGACTGAAAATCCGTGAATCTTTGGGTCGCTTGCGTCTGAGGGCTCCAGTTTTTATCAGTTTCCTGCCTCTGCCTGCCAGTCTTAAAGACTATATTCGCTTCAAAGAGTATGACGTTTACAGTAGAGGAAGTATGGCAGAATAAGAGTAAAACTAGATGGATAAATCTGTATATGAGAAGCTGCTGATGGATATGCGTTTTTTCCCCCACATTTTATTGAGAATCAGAATCAACTTTATTGGCCATGTTTGCAGAGACAAACTAGAAATTTGACTTGGTAACGACAGACTCTCAAGTTAAAACACTCAACTGCAACAGGCTACAACACTCACAAAAACACAGACATAAATAAAAAAATTATATTGAAAATTAAAATTAAACAATTAAATTTTCACAATACAGTGACAATTAAAAAGTGCAGGGGGTAGAGGGGGGTAGTGCAATATCAGTATTGTCTTAGAATATTTGTTAAAAAAAAAAAAATTCATAAACATGGGGCCACATTGAAAATTTGTGATTTTAAATTTAATTTAAATTTGGAAAGACAGAACTTTATGATTTTGGCTCATTTAAAACTTGAAATGGTTTCACTTTATTTTCATGGCCCCTTTAACGCATTAAGTAACGTGCGACATATCAACTAACTTTCATTAGAGTATTAGTAGACTCTTAGGGTTAGAATAAGTTGCAAAGTGATTTATAGTGTGTTGGGGGAGCATCACAATAAAATGTTAGTAGATATTAAAGGGTTAGTTCACCCCAAAATTAAAATTCTGTCATTATTTACTCACCACCCTCAAGTTGTTACAAACCCTTTGTGAGTTTCTTTCTTCTGTTGAGGACAAATGAAGATATTTTAAAGAATCTTGTTGACTAAACAGTTGACGGTACCCATATATTAGTCAATGGGTGCCGTCAACAGTCTGGTGGTCACCAACATTCTTCAAAACATATTTTGTGATCAACAGAAGAAAAACTCATTCAAGTTTAGAACAACATCGGTGAGTAAATTATGACAACATTGGGTCAACTATCCCTTTAAGCAGACAGTATACTAATACTGAGTTGGTTGACACATTTTTGCAATGTTATATAGGCCTTGTCAACAGAATGTTAAAATGGGACCATCGAAATTAAAGTGTTACCCTTGAAACAAATATATAATTTAGCAATATTTCTAGGTGAATAATCAAATAAGCCCATTTGTGAAATTGTTCATGTGATCTTTGTTCAGTAATCAGAATTAGGTAATAAATGTCTCGAGCTAGATATGTCACGTGATTATATTGTATGAATACAATAAATATGGGTGGTATGAAGTGCACAAAAATGATCTGGGCCCGTATTCATAAAGATTCTAAGGGTCCTCAAAACTCTTAATTTAGCTAAAACTTTTACTTAGAGTTTTAGCTAAGAGTGATTCGGGACCGTTCTGAGAGCAACTCTGAGTAAGGAAAACATAAAACTTTCATCTTAGTGAGGAGGCGGGGCTGACCCCGTTGCCATGCGACACAATCTTTTGAAGACTGTGATTGGTTGGTTGTAAAAGAAGGGGAAAAAGAGCCATTTTAAGTATAGAGTTTACTCACGCGCACACGCACATTATATGTATGTAAATATTTCCTATTTTTTAACCTTGCAGTTAATTTCCTACGGTAGTTGATTGGCTTAGAATGGTAAAAAATGTTCCACTCTTTCCAATTACACTGATTGCTGTCTATTTAAGTGGTGGTTTGAAGCCGACTGGACGGAAGAACTGTGTTTACTGTTAGCCCAGTTAGTAGATGCACACTATGCACAAAGTGAAGTGCACAAACATACGCAGTGACTTTCCCCAAAGAGTTTGTTGTCGACGATTCGTTCTTGGCTCTACGTAACGTTCTAGCCATCTGTCTGTTAAGCTGCTCATGCGCATAACGGTCGTGGCGTCTAGACGCTGCGCAGTTCTCAGCTGCGCCACCGGGGGGCGTCAAGGCTACGTGAAAGTAAACAGAGTGACGCCAGAGTTTTGCAGTGGTGGGGAAGGTATACGTCACAAGCATAATGGCGGAGGCTGGTTGAGAAGGAGAATTACTCCGAGAAGCGGCATTGAAATCAACTTCATCGCCAGCTGACTAGGTGACTGCAGGTCCGAAAATGGCTTGCAATTTCGGCCAGGAGAGAAAAATCGACAAGGAGAGCAGCAAGACCGGCGGCCTAACATTGGAGGATGGCGACAGCACGAAACAATTGTTGTCAGCCTCTAGCACGGCCACATCCAAGCAAAATGGCGATCAAGCTGAATGTGAAGACGAGCAAATGTCTGAACAAGATGCCTCTGAGCGGCGGAGGGCAGGGCTGTTGGACCTGAAAAATTGCGGCGGTGCGCCCTCGACACTACCGAGGTCGACCGAGGAGCTGCCAAGAAGGAATTTTCAGATTCCAAGGAAAATCAAGGAGCGGAAAGGTTGTGTGTCCCATTACTACCACTACTGTTGCCATTCCAAAAATGGACTGTTTTTGTTTCTCAGCTTTCAAGTTCGCTAAAAGCGCTCTCTTTGGTGCTTCGGGTCGAATGAATAGACCTGTATTGATATATAAACGTGGGATCTATAAAATGAAACACGTGATTAGCCTGAAAGGTTTGCACTAGTTACTAAATGGATTTTTAGCGAGTGCATGATTGCTCAGAGCTGCAGGTAACGTTAAGTCGGCGCTCTAGTCTAATGCAACTCGCAGCACGTGAGGATTCGATTCGTTCGACGCAAAAAAGACGCACATTTTTGTCACGCTGCTAGAAACCTCACGGAGGCCGGTGTCATTGCTTTGCTAGTTGGATCCACACTCCTCCCACACCGTACAGTATTGCTGCACCACATGACACACTTCTTCCCCTCCTCATCAATGGCACCAGTGTGATTCGTTTGACCACTGCTTTTCTCCCTCCAGTCTTTACGCACGACGTTTTAAACACCTGTCAGTCCTGAACAACCAGCCATATTTGGAAACCTCATTCATTCCCGTACTATTTCCGTATAGCGCTAAAGAAATTAAGACGCGAGAGCTTGGTAACAGAAAAAAAACACTGCATGAATGAAAGCGAAACTGGTGCTTGTAGCAATCGTTGTAAGTTTACTTACAGTAGTTATGTGAGAGTATGCCAACTCTCACTTTGTCACCTTTGTTGTGCAAGTTTCTGTCTGTAGGCGCTTTATCTTATCAAAAATAACAGAACAGACACTAAACTATTGTTCTAAAGTGGACTAGACATTTCAAATACATTTTAAAAACACGTTTTATGTCGCCTCGTGAATGTTTTGAATGATTAGTGACTCAACCAAGAAGATTTGTTTGGCCATTAACCAAACATTCGATAGTTTTGCTTATTGATTATGCAAATATTTGTTTTGTTTTTTGTTTTTAGCGAATTTTTAGTAAATATGACAATCTATTATTTTGTGTCTTATTGGGCAACGCTATTTTATGCAAGTAGCAACATAAGTATCGTTATCATAATTTGTGCAAGTATCAATATTAAGCGTCTGCTATTAAAAACCCAATTTCTTGATCTGTCAAGTTTTGATCTGTCTTTTATTGCATTGAACTGCAAGATACAGAGTGGCTGTCAGGTTATGTGCAACTCTTTACTATGCAGCCTAGATAAAAAAAACAAAAACACTATACAGCTTCTATAAATTTACTTGATATTGAATTCTATTGAATGCATTGATGTTGTTCTGATCTAATGAGCTGGGTCTTTAATGTGTGCTGTCCTCCAGGTCTCCTTCAGAATTTGTCTCCAGATTCCAGAGAGTTTGAGGAAGTTGTGAAGCTTCTGTCCTCGTTCTACCTGGACGCCACATCCCGTGGGACATTCACCTACACCAAAGCTTCTCTCATTCACAACGAACTCTTGGAGAAAGAGGTGAGAGAGCTGCTTGCAATTGTAAAACAGTAGATTATTGAAATACCCATCAGGCCACTTTGGGGGCAGTTTTCAGAGAATCAAATACTGATACTGTATGAAATAATTTGTCATTTTTGCCTTAACAGTTCATCGAGAAGAAAAGGGAACTGAAGCAGAATGGCAGGACAGAGGCAGATCTTGCAGAATCCTATGCTTTTCTGCTACCTGAGAGGAATAAGGTGAGGTTGTGTTAGTTTTGCTTAGTGAAATAATGTCAATGAGTGTTTTAATCGTAATATTAACACTTGGATTATTTGTGGTCTGAGCTTGACCTCAGAATTTTGTACTACTCCATACAAATACAAAAATGTATGGGTGCAGTATAAACAAAACTCATTCTTGTTCTGTGTTCTCTGTCGTTCCTGTTAATACCACTGAATTGTAAAGTGTTTATAATGCATTTACAACATAACTGCTACAATAACTACAATATTGGCTGTACTTTGAATAAAAATTGTCAGTGTAACCACTTTCTTGTCTAAGTATTTATCATTTTAAATGGCATAATTTAGCAATTAGTCTTGGTCAAAGGTGTGACTAACCAAAGTAATATCTGATTTTCTTTACAAGACTCACTGGATTTGCGAAAAGGGTCTTTCTGTGGGACATTCGCGGGTCAACAATCTGGGAAGCCCTCTCAAAGGTGAGCGTTGTGCTTCCAGCGAGTCTGTGTATATCTGTTTAGCTCTAATCCTTTGCTTGGGATGGGAGTCCTGGATTTTGGATTACTGTGGTCACTTGATCTTTGCTTTGGAGTAGTTGAATTAGTCAAGGCCAAAAAGACCACTGCTCCATACTTGCTTGTGATCAATGGGCAAAGTAAACTTTAATTAACCAAACTTTCTACTGATGCTAATTTTTGCATTGATAAACTTTTTAATATATTTTATATATTGGTCACCCCTATGACGTCTGTCTATTTTCAGAGGGTGTTTGAGGTTTTGGAAGTTATATTATGTTGTGGTTTGAGGTACATTTTTAATGCATGATATATATGGTTGAATATTGAAGCAGCGGCTGTGTGTTTAGAGACATTCACAAACCCAGTTTAGTAAATCATGTGAATGTGACTAGGATCGCTTTAACTGGTGAAATTAAATAGTTTCTGCAAATATTTAATCTTAGCAAACATAGAAACTGCATTCCAAATGGATTGCTAACACATTTCTTGGGATTACCCCAAGGCTTTTTGTTGGTCACAGGAATGTTGGCCCAAGTAACTCTTCTATCCTTTTTTTTTTTAGGGGTTTACCTCTCAAAATACTCAGATTTGTTACAAATGAATCCATTTGAAGTGGGTGCTGCTGGAGACATAATAATATTTAAAGTGATGAAGGTAAGTCTGTGACCAAGCATCAAACGTTGACCGTGTCTTTCAAAAATAAAACCGTACAAAAAACTTCACTGCGGTTTCAAAAACAATAGTGACTTGTGGTCTTATTCTGCAGGGTAAAGTGAAGACCATATTTGAGAACATGCCCAAAAATAATCTTGAGCCAGCCCTAAAATATGACAGCCATGTGTACAAAAATGCCAGCAAAGTGACTTCATTATTGTCGTATAGGGCCTTTGAGCACACTCAGGTGAGTGAGTTTTTCATTATGACCTTTTGCTTCGTAATGTGTTCAGATGTGACCTGTTGTGTATCTGAATTCCTTCTGTGTTTTATTCCAGCAATACTTCTATGAGTTTGCTTTTGATGAGCTAAGGTCCAGGCCGAGACATGTGTTGCCATATGCAGTTTTGTCTTTTCAATATAAAGGCAAAGAGTCGGCCACGGCCACACACAGGTATGATTGGGATAACTGCTGATCTGTGTAGAAAAAGTGTACTACACTCTGT